GGGGGGGGGGGGGGGGGGGGAGGGGAGGTTTCTATTGTCAATTTACATTGTCTTCTCTTAGAGGTATTAGGAAATAGAGCTGAGATTTAGGGGCATCAAAATCTTGTGTTCTGGCACTTCATCTTCTACTCCCAACTTTTATGAACAAATGGGAAGTGTCTTTAATGCCTAAACTGAACTTAGAATATGAGCAGCCAGAGTTGATCAAGAGCTGCAATTACAACTTGTGCTTGAATCTAAAAGTTCCCTCCATACTAGAGCTGTAACTTGCATGTGCATGTACCTTGTTTTATAGTTAAACTGGGCTTGCTTGAATTGTTTTTGTATATGCCAGGTTGCGTTCCCCTAATGTTTAATTTTAAACCATCATCTGAACTCTCAAAACTTGCACGGCTATGTAGTATGCATGGTTATGTTCCTTCAGCTACATTATTGCTTCATCGTTCTTCATTACAAATTTATCTCAATTTCAATATTGTGTAATTAGAACATGCAGAATGTTCTCTATTGGGGAAGGAACAAATATAAGAGAACATACGATAGCTGGTCAGGTAAGGATTCAGGGACAGATTTCAACAGTTCCACCAAGATGGTTGGTATTGGAGAGCACGTGACAATATCACAACACTATTCTATTTAAGGTCTGGACAGGTGAAAATGTTGCTTTGATATTCTTTGCTAGTATGATATTGTGTCGATTATTTGTGTTCCTTAAACTATACCCAATAAAGGTCTTACTGTCATTAACGAGTAAAAACTATACCATTTTTGCTTTGTTTATGGGTATGAAGTTATTGTTCCTAAAAGAATACAAGATGATTAATTGGACTTGATTTGCTACGTTTACCTGTCTTTTTTTGTGGCATATTAAGAAAGTAAATAAAATGCACAGATGATGGAATTAAGGGTGCTCATTTCCGTCGTTGAATCATCTGTATATATTGCCATTTAAGCAGCAACGGAAATTATGCTGTTTTTGTCATTTAAGAAGAAGACCAAGTTCATTTGTTGGTAGTGTGTTTTGAGACGTCTTCTTTACACGGAGTGTCATATTGTTCATCAGTAACCCATCAGATTCATAAGGACATTCTTTTATTCCGATCCAAGTTCATAGGATCAGGATACTTAAATGCTCTAATCCTTTATTGTTGCAGACAGCATTTCGAACTGAGGCAAAACAGAATCACACAGATCAGAACCAGGAAATTAAAGGGGTAATGGGAAACTTGAATGCCTTGACCCATTGCCATGACTCTTGAAGATGGCAGGTGAGTTAAAAAAATGTTTTTATTCTCCCATTAGAAAATGAGTTTCTGCATTAATTTCGTCATAGGTAGGCTTTTTCCATGCCTATTTAGGCGGCATAAATTTTATTATTTTTTAAAGATGAATTAACCATTGAGAATGATGAGTGCATTAATCTAGCCTCAACCTGGTTATAGTTTGTTTGAGAATGCAACTAAAAATAGGTAATACACTATTGGAGCTAGAACGTGATTGTGGCTAGGCATATTTCCCTGCTAATAGTGTCGTCAATAGACTCCTCATTGACCATAACTTAAAGAAACGAGTTTCTAATGGAGCTAGAACCTGAAGGGAAGGAAATACACCGGTGCTTTTTAAAGATACCACAATAGAATGTCACTGAATTTAGATAATAGGTCTTCTTTTGACTTCAAATAATTACTGCGAAAATTCATCGAAATATATTTTTTATATAATACATGTCAGACATGTTTTCATATCGCACTTTCCCAAGTATAACGTCGGTCGTCAGCTGAATTTGGTATTCTTCCTCTGATCTTTTGCTGTCATGATGTTTGGTTTTCCCTCTAGTTGGTCCTTTTTGCTTCCCCGTCCGCAATCTTCTAGGTCAAAACCTACCTCAGAATTTGAATGACGACGACGTCATTCAATAAAAAAAACTGGCAATCTGTCAGCTTGTAGTGGACAGTCCACTTATCAAGCTAACTAAAGGAAGTTTTCGATCTTTCCATCAAATAGTTAAAAGCTTAGAAACTTTCCAACTAGCGTAGGTCTCGCTGCCAGAAAAAAGTAGGTCGGGACGGCACCTCAGAATTTGAATGCCTTTCTCTTGAATTAAAGTAGGTCGGGATGGTACTTTTTGATTTTGATTGTTGCTTAATTATTTTTCCGAATGGAAGTGGTTCATATTCTAGTCATTTCTATCCTTCTGCAAACTTCACCTCACCTTTATTGAGTGATGTCTAAAACACCGTAAGAACTTTACCGTCGGAGTGATTTTGCCCCTTTGAAAATTAAGTCTATAAATGTCATTCCACTTATGGATTTATTTGTTTATTTTTATTTATTTATTACTTTTTTTGTTATCCACATTTTACAAAACCAAATACAAGTTTTGAAACTAAAAGCAAATCATCACATTCTTAGTAAAGATATGAATTCGCAACCTTCATCCGATGAGATTTGTTTCTTATTTAATTGATTTCAAATTTTCATTCCTTGCGTCTTGAGAATAACTTCCGAACTGGAGGAAAACTAGGTTTAGGACAACTACCATCCCACAACTCCATAGAAAGGGTAGAATAATTAGCGAGTGCATTTATACAAAGCATCGTCAAGACGACAACTTGGAAGAAAAATTTTCACAACCAAAATGGTTCGATACAAAACATTAGTTCATCTCACACAACCCTCCTAGTCATCCTAATCATCTCTTGTTCATTAAGTGTCGCCTATCACCTCACCTCTCTCTCACACGACGGGGGGGACTCTGTAATAAGCTGCAACGGTTTTGGGAAAAAACATCTGCCTTACTCCTTCAGCCTTGAGAATGGGAAAGATAATTGCTGACGCACTCTGCACAGGTAATGCAACTTTCATTATGAAAGTATTTGATTAATATTTGCTAGCTCTAATTCTGGTTAAAGTTGTTTTGAAATTTAATTATATAATTTACATGCTTTTAGCTTTCTGCATTAGCCATTAACAGACTGTTTGGCTAGCTCTTATTTTTTTAATTCAAGACTTGTAAAAAATGTGAAGTGCATTGCATTGAATCTTCAAACAAAATAAGAATGAAGTAGAACTAATAAATGTTCAATTACACTCCTATTAATCTCTGATAATGTAGCAAATATTTCATTCCTGTATATCTTACTAATTTCTAATTCTATGGGTGCTAATTTACTAAACAATTTAAAACAATTTTTGAAATGTTAGTATACAATTTGGTAGTGTTTTCAAGAAAACAAATGGATAAAAATGTGTTGATTTAAAAAGGAAAAAAAAACAATTTAAAACAATTTTTGAAACGTTAGTAAACGATTTGGTAGTGTTTTCAAGAAAACAAATGGATAAAAATGTGTTGATTTAAAAAGGAAAAAAAAAAGGTGAAATAGTGTTTAAAATATAAATGTTAAAATTTTGAAACGTCAGTAAACAATTTGGTGGATAAAAATCTCTGTTGATTTAAAAAGGAAGAAAAAAGCTAAATAGCGTTTAAAGTATAAATGCTCAATTTTTGAAACGTTAGTAAACATTTTGGTAGTGGAAAAGAAAACAAATGGATAAAAATTTGTTGATTTAAAAAGGGGAAGAAAAAAAGTTAAGTGTATAAAATATAGTGTTCAATTTTTGAAACGTTGGTAATCAATTTGGTAGTGTTTTCAAGAAAACAAATGATAAAAATTTGTTGATTTAAAATGGAAAAAGAAGAAAAGGACTTTTGAAAAACAATTAAAATATTAGCTATTTGTCTTTCAAGTATATTACTATTCATCGCTCCCAACCTGTATTTTGAAAAACAATTAAAATATTAAGAAGAACAGGACTGGAGAAATATTTTTTCTAGTTTAAAAAATTCAGCATGGTTTCAGAGAAACTAACTTAAGAGAACTAGTAGTTGGTAACAGACTTGCAAAAAAGGAAAAGGACCATTTTTCAAAATATTCCAATTCAAGATGAAATATATTTTATGAACATAATACTCCAATGAAATCTTCATAGACAGGTATGAATTCTTATCACCTTTGGGGGGGATATATGCTTTTAGATTAGTAATTTAATGCTTTGTCGAATTCTATATGAAATTGACCTAAAATGTTTCCAAACCAAGATAAAAAAGAAGCGTTAGAAGCACTTACCGAAATTAACCTGGCTCCAATCCAGACGCGTTTGGGAGAAGGAAATGGGATCAGCAGCCGGCCAACACCGTATATTGCCACTGCGAAGAAATGGAGAACCAAGCTCAATGGGCGAGGGTTCAACCCAGAGAGTAAACAAACTGGTCCATTCGAGAAGATTCCACCCAGGCTCAAATAATCGAAGCAAGCCTGACGCATTTCCTTTCTAGCCTGATCTGGTGAGGCACAGAACACTTTATAAAGGGCACCTGCCAACGTGTTTATCGTCGAAGCCACTGGCTGCAATTAAAGAAATAAAGCAAACTCATTATAATTGGATAATTTACAACCATTCAGAAATTTAACTTTAAAACATATCTAATAAATTTTTAAATTTTGAATTTTACTAATAATACATCTAAACGTTTTGATCATGACAATTTAGTCATAAAAATAAAAAAACATTTGATAGGTCGGACTTTTCGGTTACTTTTAAAGTTACGGTCTATCTATTACAGGCGTTTTCATATTAGACATAAAAGTATGGACCAAAGAAATGTTTTTTTCTTATTACTTTTAGCAAGAAAAAAGGGAACAAAAAGCAGACAATTGAAACTTGCCTTGCGGAGAGTGTAGAATGCTTCAAGATACTTGCAGAGAGTGGGTGCATCATTCAGATCACGCAGAGGCTTGAGAAGATCTCTAAGAACAACAATGTCGGACAATGCAACGGTCATTCCTCCGCCAGTAAGAGGATGACGCATATTGAAAGCATCGCCCATCAATAGGGCTCCTGGAGTAGGAAGAGGATCTGCTGGCATACTTCTGTTTGGCATTGTTCTTATATTACCCTTATCAACAGCAGCTATGAAGGAATCATAAAGTTGAGGGGGAATCTGTGTATATCAAACTTCATATGGTCATTAAATAGGTTCAAGCTTAATCGATAATGAAATAGATGGGTGAAGAAAACTCAGGGATGAGATTAATGGGAGAACAATAGGGAGTATACTATTGGTACCTGAGGAGCAACAACATTCTTCAAATAGTTGGCCATTTCACCGTTTGAAATGGAAGGAACTTTCTGACCAGGCACATCCACCAAACAGCGGATCTCCGTACTGCTAATGGGATAGAACAAAATAGGAGAAGGGTCTGCTAGTATAACATGTCCGTGATTTGCATGAGGAAGGTCACAGTTCTCAAGTACAAGGCCAACAAAACAAGAGGGAACATCCACCTGAGAAGGATCCAAGTATTCAAAATCTTCTCAGCACATGGAACCGTATCTTAGTTCTTAACAAACCTATTAGCTTTGCATTAGATTAATAATATGCGGCAGAACATGCATTTTCGTTATAAAGAATTGAAGGGTGTTTCGCACCTTAGGGTTACAAAGAGACCGTCGCAAATTTGAAAAGCATCCATCACAAACAATAGTCAACGGGGCATAAGCTGTCGTCTCTTGGCCAGATTTGTTTTTGTATTGCACACCTTTGATAATACCATTTTCCTCGAGCAGAGAAGTGACTGTTCCCTGCTCCAAGCGCACACTAGAAAGGTAGAGGAACATATTAATAAACGAATACATTACAAGTCCTAAATAAAGCACAAGGACGTTGCTTAACAAAGAGAAAGATATTAGTATAATTGTTAACTTGATCTTAATATTAGGATGTACATTAGGAAAAAGACATATAAAAAGGTTTTATGAAGATTTAATTTCAATTATCAACAACGAGTGGTTACATACGAGTCTAATTACAAAATGTTTCCCTAACATGACTGAATCTTAGGGCATATATATCACTACTCCAGTGTTAAAAATAACGTCTCTTGTGTATACGCTTTGACCGTCAAATCCGGGAATAAAACATGGTAATGGTGCAACATGATAAAAATGGTGAATGGTTTTAGCGTTTCATTGCATCACTCTAATTTTGATAGGAATTATATGTAAAGCAGATGAAGATAATAAATGCACTACAGAAGAGGACAAGTATAGCTGTCGACACACTGTATGTAACAATAATGGTCAAACATATAAACGGGAAGTAAAAGGAATTACTTGGACAGGGTTGCGGCCTTCTCACGCATCCTCTGAATGAAGCGCCCATTGTGAAAGCTCCTCCCAGACACATCTGAGTGAAATTTTTCCAAGGGGTATGACAGTCTAGTATCCTTCCCATCCTTGAAAAGAGCATAACCATACACTCGTTGGGCGTCAATATCATCCACGCAATCTGCATAGCAAACAGTATATCGACAATCAATTCTAATTTGCTAAAAAGCTCAGAAGAAAATCCTCGCCTAGAAACAGGATATTAATGAAGTAAACAAACCTTGAAGTCCCAACTCTGTTAACTTAAGATAGCCCCCAGGCTGTAATAATTCACCAACAATTCTGTCCGGTTCTGTCAAGTCTCTTTCAATCACATGTACACGACGACCATCCTGTATTTCAAAAAATAATTTAAATATATAGCATCCACTAGCAAAAGTTGAGTAAGTATTGAGGAAAAGTCATTTAGCATAAAGAAAATGACTAAACGATAGTTCATTCATTCTTTAAAATTTTCAATAACTACATACTCTAACAGAACAACTATAAGCAAGGAGCACCAAAAATAGAATCCTACTCTAAGTGACAATTATCAGAACGAATGCTATGAGATGGACAGTGAAGAAATTAGTTTTCACAGCAGGCTCTAGATACATGAAACTGCTTTTTGTCGTACAAATTTTTATGGCAGCTGACCAACCAAAAAGTAGTACGATAGAAAGCAAACCATCAGATTTGACACAATGACACAGCGGACTATCTGCAGAATAGAAGTTCATCTTCCTTTTCTTTTGAGCCTTTTTTTATTCAGCCTCCACAATTGTCATCAAAATATTAAGTACTAAGGAAAGTCTTTGAATTATCGAAAGTTATGCGTGGAGATCTGCATTTATAAGAAGCGTTTCTGTGATGAAATACTTTTCTTCCACGAACTTTCAAAAGAAGGAGAAGAAAAGGATAGATAAGTGCTTCTCTAAAAATCTCCAACTCTTTTCAGCGTTTTTTTCATTAATATTTATGCACAACAAAATACTTTTAACCATTTCGAAGAGATTTAGATAGCGAAAACCTAAAATCTCTTAAGAGTATTTGAAAAAAAAAAAAAAAATACAGTCTCAAACAATAATTTATACTTTAAAAATCATCTTCGTTCATGAATTTGAATTCATTTCACCAGTATCAAGAAGTAATTGATAAATCTGAAATAAAAATAAAAATTAACAAACATGTAATGTCATGATAAGGTATTTCTATCAACAGTACTAATAAAAAGTGTTTCGTTCAAGAAGACAACAAGATTATCCATGAATCAAGCAATCGAACTTCAGAATCTGGCTATGTAGAGCCTCCGGATCAAAAAATACCTTCTCTCAAGAACATACAACTCTCAATAATGCCGAAATGCTTGTCCGCAGATTATAAACTCTAGATCATAAATGAAATGAGAAAATAGTTTTCAATTGAGAATACTCGATCTCCGATAGAATAAATTTCAATAAATTTACACATAATTTCAGAGCATGTTTCAGAATCCACTTGAGTTTCAAAATAAATAATCGTACAAAAGTACATTCGATCTGAGATTAGATAGGCGATTCCGGAGCAATAAATTGTTATATTGACCTCAGAACATACCGCCATGTGATACTCCCTTTGCGAATGATATTAGCTAACTATACCACGCAAAATTTCATCTAGAAAGAGAACCTAAGCGCAGATTAAACATAAGCGTGTAATCCCTAAGCACATCATGTTGAATTTTAATTTTTCATTTTCTAATCGCTTTAATGCGACTGTCCAGATTGACATATTGAAGTGAAACAATCAGAAATCTCCATCCGTTTTCCACGCAAAATTTCAACAAGAGAGAGCGCTTTGTTTGAGAATAACGATACCGGACAAAAATCAGAAGTATAAGATTACCTTGGCGAGAGTATAGGCAAGAGCCGATCCGGCGACTCCGGCTCCGACAATGATAATGTCGGCGTCGCTGTTACTCGATTTGCATTCTCCATTTATAGTGGCGATATTCTTTAAGCTCTCACGCTTCCGTCCGTTCGAAACGCCGCAGTTTTTCCCGCCAAAAAAGAGATACAGCGCCACGACTCCGAGAACTGAGGCCAAGATCCAGCCTAACGCGCACTGATCCACCATTTTTTTCCGAGTACTGAACTGGCGACCTCACAGAGACCGCCAATGCGACGACGACAATGACGAGAGCTCTTTTACTGTGAGCCTCCGAGTTTCCTCTCTTTTTCTCTTTCGGTCGTCTACTAATTATAAATTCCCTCTGCGACTCTCTCTCTCCGCTGGCAACCCTTTACGCCAACTATGGAGTGGTATAACGGAACCCCATAAACTCACCAGGAAAGGGGACCGCTTTTATACGCATCTAATCTTAATGAAAATCAATCCATGAGCCACGTGGCACTATAAAATAAAAATAAGATGCGCCTTCGGTATTAATCTTACTGCCAGCTGGACGACACCTAATTTCCAATTTCATCTCTCATTAAAAAATGATACTTCTTATTGGTGGGTTAGGAGTTGTAAGAAAATGACATTTATTTAATTATAAGAAAATACCCTTCCTTATTTCTTTTTTGGAACATTAAATTAAGTAGTCTTTATAAATAATAATAATATTATTAATAGTCTTTTTGAAAAAATACGTCTAAATAAATAAGTTTTTTTTAATTTTGATTTTGTACCCATAAATTTATATTAATTATTATTTTATTTTATTTTTAATTTATAAACTTTTTATACACAAAATTATGAAAATGTTCTGGAACATTGCCACCGAACCCCGTCAAACTGCCCTTTCTTTTGTTTTCTCATAAAAGGGAAGCTGGAAGAGCAAGTCGTATTTATTTATCTTTTATTATTATTATTATTATTATTATTATTATTATAGGTAAATAAATACTCCTGTCGTTTGATCCTCCAAGCAACAAGAAAGAGAATCTTCACACTACGTTGATCAAATTGATTATTAAAAATGCAAATAATAATCATCATTAGCGCGCAAACAGACAATAATATCATTATAATATTATTATATTTATCAAAGCAGATTAAATGAACATGAGATGCCTCAATTGAACTGTAAAGAGTGTGTTAAATGATTAAAAACATATTTTAGAATTTTAAACCTACAAAAATGATTTTAAAGTCTACACTAAAAATATATAATTTTGTGATCTAAGAAATGACCTTTTAAAGAGGGGATAGATTGATAGGGAACATTTGTAATGGGTCACCTATGAAACTCCCCCTAAGATTTGCCTAATTTATTGGTCCAATGAGCCCCAGTCCAAATACATTAGCCCACATACCAATTCGACCTTTGTAGAGCCAGTCCAAATATTAGACCATGCGACACAGAAAGTTGGTGTGTAGGTGTCCTGTTTTGATTCGTCTTTCTTTTGCTTCCGTAACAGACCGGTCATGCTAAGTTTTCTCATCAATATTCTTCGACGAAATCGTTCGGCGGACCTCTAAGCTATAACGTACGTTGGGTCCTCTCTTTGTACTCAACATGTACACGTGGATACAGGCCATTGGCTGCTCCGTCTACAACCCGGAAGTCACGTCGGTTCCCGCGCCATTTTGACACGACCTATTTTCCTCCGCCACGACCGGACCAATTTTCTCCAAATTCACTAACAACGTCGGCCCAATTCCGGCACTACATGACGACTATGATGAAAGCCCTCTCTCCCTGAGAAATGTGACCACCAAGAGCCTGTCAGACATGAGGTATAGTGTTAGATGGCTCTTCCGGGTGTTAAGGAACTATGATCATCTTCTTAATTCGCTAACTTAGAACTTTCTCCCAATAATTGAATCTAAAGTTCTCTCGAGCTTCCAAATTTGTTACCAACGTCGACACAGTAAGACCCATAACCAGAAATTTAAGGAGCAAAATTCCGCTTCATAAAATTTTATGTATATAATCTTTGTTGGAGAGAACCTTAAAATCTCTCCATTCATTTCTAGAATGAAGATATTATATTTACTGTTTTTTTTTTTTTTTTTTTTGAAATTTTGTGAAAGTAAGCATTGACATTTGATAGAAAAATTTTACCCGTTGCTCTGTTTGGTTACTTTTACAATTGGGTGAGTAGGACCATTTCAATTTCCAATGGCTTATCTGTAATATGCTCCCTTGTCGCTTTAAGCAACGACCCTCCAAAATCTCTGGCACTTGCAGTATAAAACGTGACAAATAAGTCAATTTTGTTATTATTACTTATTGGCTTCTTACCAATCGACATCTTTCAGTAAATATCTTAAAACTTAATGTTACTGTAAAGTCAAAGGCCAATCAATTTGTTTGAAATTTTAAAATTTGGTATTCAAACTGGCCAAAATACTCAATTAGCCATTTTGACTAACTTTTCTAATGAATGTTTGGTTTTGTTAGATTCTCTCTAGTACACATTAACATTATTTGTGGGCTTCGGCCCTATCTTTGTGGCAAACATTGTTGTCGTTACGAACGCGAAATTGACATATGGAGGTATCAGAATGCTACATTCGATGTTGAAACTCGTTGATTGGTCATCATTTTGGCAACTTCTTAACTACTGTTCTATCCTCATTACTTTGTCATCGTAATGGTAAGTTGTTTGGTTTGTTTTTATTTTTCTTTCTCATTACATCATTTCATTGTTATAAAGTGTTCTAGTCGGTTTGATTTAGAATAACTATTTAATACTTATAAAGACATATAAATACAATTTTGAGTATTTAAAAAGTTCTTCCAAACATATACTTATTTAACAGGTCATTGGAACTAGATTTTACATTAAAAAAACATTCTCTTTGTTACCTTGCGTTTTCGGCGGTATGTAGATTTTTAATCATTGAATCAATAGGTAAAAAGTGAGAATTTAATCATATTTTGGCATATAGTTGGGGAATTTGTGAAGCTTTTATATTTACTTTTTGCTTAAGCGACTCGATAAGGATGAAAATCTTAATGTGCTTTAGTTGAGCATGCATATATTGTCTTTTTTGAATTTTTTCTTCTGAGGTTCTCCACGAGTTTTTTAAAACGTGTTTTACTAAGGAGAGGTTTTCATACATTTGTTAAGTATGTTTCGTTTCTATCTCCAACTAATGTGGAATCTCACAATTCACCCCTTCAGAGTTCACATTGAGATTCCACATCGAATAGAGAGAGAAATGAGTGCAGCGAGGACGTTGAGCTTTGAAGGGGTTGATTGTGAGATTCTATGTCGGTTAGAGAAGGAAACGAAACATTTTTTTATAAGGGTGTGAAAATCTCTCCCTAACACATACGATTTGAAAACCTTTAGCAGTGAGTTTGAACTGTTACATAAAAAATCTATGACAAATGAGGTTGATAGTTCGAACTTGTTCACATGGCAGACGGATAGCATGGACAAGGTTCCTATTAGCTATTTCTTCGAGTATGGCCTGGTCACAATTGAGCGATATCCACACTACCTATGTGGTCAATAAACCCGCTCAAACAATTGAGAATAATGTCACATCATAGCTGCAAAGAATGAGCCTAAGTTTTCGATTTTTGGTCGATCATTAACCATGCCTGGGGTCTAGTTTGTAACGACAATACATAAGCAAATGTTGATTGATATATTGTGGGAACACTTGCTCATTAAAACTCAACTGGCCATACTCTTGCAGCCGTTGGGTGGCTTAAGATCCACCAATTCCCGTCTAGTCCCTTGTGCACTAAATTTCTGGGTCCGGTAGCTGCCAGGCTTTTGTTTTTGGCATGTTCTTTTGTTGGAAAATTAAAATAAATTATAGAGATGAAATTGATTCAAACAAAGAAACAACTTCATTTTTTTTTTTTTTTTTGTCATTACTCGAAAATTTAATTTATTTTATTTAAAATTAATTGCAAATATTTGTCCGGAAAAAAAAAAAAAAAAAAAAAAATCTTACCAACGAGGTGAATCTTCCTCACTTATGTGGTATTTTGATTTGTTTAAATAAATAAGCATTTTTCTTATTTATTTATTTAAATATACCATAATAATAATAAAAAAAAAAGTGTCTATTTTAAGTTTTAAATAGAGAGTCCTCTTAAATGGCCGTTGGCAATAAACACAACGAAACATGCCCAACATGCAATTGTTGGAAAAAGATTTGCACGTTTGCTTGCATTATTGAGTCATAAATCCAAATCAATTTAGATCCTTTTTTTGCAATTACGACACCGGTCAATTTATTATTTATTACAATAATCTTAAATATCGATTCCACTCTCATAATTAAAAATAAATAAATAACTTCTTAAAAAAAAAAAACCCAATAAATATTTATTCATAAATTCCATAATTTTCAACTAAGAATGAAACTTGATGCATGTTTTATTTAAAATATATTCTTTCACCCAAAATAATTAGTTTTTAAATCGACATAGACAATGAAATATTTTTAGATTGTAATCTAAGTGAGATGATTAATTGAGAGTTGATATTTGGTATAATAATTAATTAATATATAAAAATATAAGGGACCCGTTTGCACTAAATGGAGAGGTCCCATTTGATTTTAAAACGCCGGAGCCTCTCCACGACCGTAACACGTTTCAAGAAAAGTGCTTTTGTCGGTTCCCATGGTCATTGTATCTGGTTGAAACAAGGTTTCATTTTCTTTTAATAATAATAATAATAATAATAATAAGTCTTCTTTTCAATATTAAATTATGAAATCCTATTAATTCATAATAATTAAACCTTTATTGTTCATATTAATTCATAATAATTATAATTATAGTTAAAATACTCATAATTTGATGTTAATAAGTATCGTTGTTGTTCTTATTTTTCGAATATAATTGGGTGACTTTCTATTTTATAATCAGCTGCTAAATACGAAGGTTGAAAAATGGAATAAAGTCAAAAAAGGATAATTTTATTTATTTATTTAATTAGAAAATTGTGTTTAAAATTTGATTAATTTATTGTTAATTTGGAAAAGCGGAGATTGCGGGCAAATACCTGAGCGCACGACCGCCGGCTGTGGCGTCCAGCCTGTTTGCAATGAGGAGGGCTGACGGTGGACCACCGCCGCTCCAGGTGGCATGATCTCCGCTCATCATGGCCTTCTGATTTTGATCAAACCCCTTATCTTCTACCAACTCTGCCGTGTTTACACTATTTTTGATCGCTGGTCCATTTGGCACCTTACGCCGATGCCGCTTCTCAACCTATTTGTTAATTTCCTCTTCTACCCCCCGTTTAGAACCATTCTGCCGATTATATATGAGGACAAATTTGTCACTTTGCGGGAAAGCTTTGTAAAATAGTATGTTTTTTTGTTATTTTGTTACACTAATCTTTTTTTTTTTTATATAAATATTTTTAAAATTTTGTTGGCTGAAAATAACTTTTTCAAAGTTTGAATTTTTGTGGAAGTAAATATCGATTTTACCCCTTATCCTGAATCTGCTCTCGTTTCCCATGTGAATAAGACTGAACCTTGTAAAGTTACATGGGCAATGTTCCACTGTATCCTATGAGTACGAAACTTCGCGATACCGCTTTTGAAAACAAATCTCAGACGCTCATCAACTTTCACTTTTGCATCAGCCAGATCAAAAGACGAGCCTGATGATGATCCTACTTTAGGTTGCTCTTGATTCGGCGAAAGTACCACGGCAAGCATGGTGAGTTTTATTTTCCTAAAAAGTATAAATTAATTTATAAATTGAATTAATATAAATTTGAAAAAACTAAAATCTAAAATTAATTAATGTAATTCGATATCCATCGTAGTAATTATTTAGGGAGGATTTATTAAATTAGAGATTATTCGTGAGATTTTGCTTTTCAAAATAAATTTTCAAACCATAAAAGGAGGGATTCCTTTACAAAAAAAAAAAAAAGAAAAAAGAAAAAAAAAAGAGAGAGAGAGAAAACATATTCCCGATAATACCCTCGTTTCCGGTTGGTCTAGTTTGACTAAAAATTTGTCGGTGGATTAATGTGAAAAAGGGCAAATAAGGCAATTCGAATATCCTCTTTCTTGTTTAATTATATTCGAAAACATTACAGCTGCACCAGCATTTGCCGTGTTGACCGCGTGATCCACTGTGAACGAGTTAATAATGAAAATAAAGAAAAAATGACAGGAATTGTCCACTCGTGTGACCACATGACATACTATGGGGGAGGGTTAGATAGTAAATTCACTTAATTCTCCGAGAACGAACCAAATTGAAGTTTCGTCTGAGCGGGAGAATGGGAAAAAGGACAAAAATAAAAATAAAAATAAAAATAAGGGACTTGGTCATTTCCTACGTAATTAATGGCCTTGAATTTTCCATTATAAAACTCGTCAGCCTAAAAATTAATTATCAAATAATTGCAAATAATAATAAATATAAAGCTAATCAACTTACCGTGTTTTACCCATTTTCGCCTTTACGTTACGCGTTTAGGGTTTGGATGTCAAGGCTGTTCATTTCCTTTATTTTATCTCTGGTAAGGTTTATTTGATACTGTAAAAAGTTAAAACGGAAGTAACGGAAGTAAAATTCTGTGGCTTGGTTCCATGGATGTTGTGCAGTTGTTAGCGGCGGTTTAAACCCGAGTAAATGGAGACGAAAAAGGAAGAAGATAAATAATAATAATTTTTTTTAATTAGTATTACTATATAAATGGTGTTCTGTTCTGTGGGTTAATTCAATTCAGGAGGGATTTTGAAGAACACCCCTTTTCTCTAAAGAAATCGTTTTCATAAGGTTAATGATTTGACTTAACAACGTGCATTCGGAATCGGTACGTGTTTTTTATTTTCTTTTAAAAGAATTGAAAGACGTGCTGAGCTGTTACCATTCCATTTCTGAATCCTTCGCTCGGCCATCTCTCTTCCTTCTCTTATTACCTTCGTGACCTTCTGTGGTGCAAGCTGTAAAAGAATGGAAGCTTATTTGGACACATCTCGGGTTCAACTCATTCTTCCTTTGGATATCTCTCGTATAAGTTGTCACCGAATGTCGCAATGATTTAGAGACGGCCACTGCTGCATTCTTCACCACGCGTCTTCTTTCGCTTCTTCCAAGTATTTTTCTTCCCCATTCTGTTCTCTCTCTTGTTTTTGCTGTTTCTCCGACAATGAGATCAGAATCTTAGACATTTTGTTGTCCTTTTTTCTTCTCTTTGTGGGTCTTTTTCGATTTTAAGATCGGTTTCAGAATTTGGGTCTTTAGGGGTTTTGGGGCCTGAAAATCGGTGTTCTGCAGCTGGGGTTTGGAGATCGTAGCTCAAAATGGCTCCCTCGTTTGATTGGTGGGGAAAAGACACTCATAGAGGAACTCCTGTTGTTGTGAAGATGGAGAATCCAAATTGGTCGATGGTGGAGCTGGAAGGACCGTCGGAGGATGATTTTCTCATCGCCGGCGACTCGCCGGCGAGTCGGACTAGAGAGAAAGCCCGAGGCAAAAACGCTAAGCAACTAACGTGGGTTCTCCTCCTTAAGGCTCATAAGGCTGCCGGTTGTTTAACTTCCATTGGCTCTGCAATGGTGGACCTAGCCGCCGCCGTTAGACGCCGTGTTGCTTCTGGTCGGACTGATGCCGATGACGCCGACAATGACGTGTCTGTTGGAGGCAGAGTGAAAGAGAACCCCACCGTGAAAACGAGATTCTATTCTTGTATCAAAGTGTTTCTATGGCTGTCGGTGCTTTTGTTGGGTTTTGAGATTGCGGCGTTCTTCAAAGGCTGGCATTTTGATACTCCAAAGCTTCATTTGGATTATCTCTGGGCATCGCAGTGGGGCTTTAAAGGAGTTTTTGATTGGATTTACGCTCAATGGGTATTGATTCGAGTGGGTTATTTAGCTCCTCCTCTTCAGTTCTTAGCCAATGCCTGTATCATATTGTTCATCATTCAGAGCTTGGATCGTTTAATCTTATGTCTGGGTTGTTTCTGGATCCGATTCAAGAAAATCCAACCAGTTCTTAAACCTGGAGATTTAGACATTGAATCCGGCGAAAAGGGCTACTTCCCAATGGTTCTTGTGCAGATCCCCATGTGCAATGAAAAAGAGGTGAAATTCTTTGTTCATATCCTCTGCTTTTGCCGGAAATCGTTTGAGTTCTTATTGATAATTGAGTTTGTGTGTTCTTCTTCTTCTCAGGTTTATCAGCAGTCAATCGCTGCTATCTGCAACTTGGACTGGCCTAGAACCAAGCTGCTAATTCAAGTTCTTGATGACTCTGATGACCCAACAACCCAATTGCTGATACAAGAAGAGGTTCATAAATGGCAGCAAGAGGGCGCCAACATTGTTTATCGTCATAGAATCATTAGAGATGGTTACAAGGCTGGCAACCTCAAATCCGCCATGAATTGTAGCTATGTTAAAGACTACGAATTCGTCGCGATCTTCGATGCCGATTTTCAACCCACACCTGATTTCCTTAAAAGAACTGTTCCTCATTTCAAGGTATTTGAGGCTCTTTTTGCAAATCAATTGTTTTTTGGAGTGTCCTTAGATGATTGTTAACTCCATTTTTCAAATGGCACTCAGGATAATGAGGAGCTGGGGCTGGTTCAAGCAAGATGGTCATTTGTGAACAAGGATGAGAATTTACTGACCAGGCTGCAGAACGTTAATTTAGCTTTCCATTTTGAAGTAGAGCAGCAAGTAAACAGTGTGTTCCTCAACTTCTTTGGATTCAATGGCACTGCTGGTGTGTGGAGGATCAAAGCCCTCGAGGACGCCGGTGGGTGGTTGGAAAGGACCACGGTCGAGGACATGGATATCGCGGTCCGTGCTCATCTTCATGGATGGAAATTCATATTCCTAAACGACGTCGAGGTACTAATCGTTGTTCATTTATGATAATTTAGTGTGTTTCTGAGTTATTATTGAACATAATTTTATCTGTATGATCAGTGCCAATGTGAGCTACCAGAATCTTATGAAGCTTATAGAAAACAACAACATAGATGGCATTCTGGTCCAATGCAATTGTTTCGTCTTTGTCTGCCTGCTATTATTCGATCAAAGGTATCGTTATTCGATCAAACGTGCAATTATTCGTTTTGTTATCGAATTATGGCTCGATCAAATTGCTGATATAGTTCTCTTACGTGATTGATTCAATGCAGATTAGTATATGGAAGAAGTTCAACCTGATCTTCCTCTTCTTTTTGCTCAGAAAATTGATATTGCCCTTCTATTCTTTCACACTTTTCTGCATAATTCTCCCAATGACAATGTTCGTTCCTGAAGCCGAGCTACCCGCGTGGGTCGTTTGCTATATCCCGGCCACGATGTCGTTTCTAAACATCCTACCTGCCCCAAAATCCTTCCCTTTCATTGTCCCTTACCTCCTTTTTGAAAACACCATGTCAGTTACCAAGTTCAATGCCATGATCTCAGGGCTCTTCCAGCTTGGTAGCGCCTACGAATGGGTTGTCACGAAGAAATCGGGTCGGTCCTCAGAAGGTGATCTTTTGTCGTTGGTAGAGAGAGAGCAAAAGCATCAAAGAGGGGCATCGGCGCCCAACTTAGAAGAGATGAAGGAAGAGCTTGAGAAACAGGAAAAGAAAGCTTCTTTGCGGAAGAAGCATAACCGAATATATACAAAAGAGCTGGCATTGGCTTTCCTTCTCTTAACTGCATCAGCACGGAGTCTTCTGTCTGCTCAAGGGATCCATTTCTACTTCTTGCTATTCCAGGGGATCTCGTTCCTGCTCGTCGGGTTGGATTTGATCGGCGAACAAATTGGTTGATTGTAAAAAAAAAAAAAAAAAAAGAATGTATGGAACTCTGTAGAGAAGAACACAAGGAAATTACCAAAAAAAAAAAAAAAAAAAAAAAAAAAAAAAAAAAAAAAAAAAAAAAAAAAAAAAAAAAAAAC